ATTTTGCGATGAATCAAAGAAAATTTAAAACATTCAAGGAATAGAATATAAGTTCTTCTTAAATTCTTAAAATACTTTCTTCGTTCTTCCCCCCATTTCTTCTTATTTCTTCTTGCCAATAAAATAAAATTGTTTAAAAATGGTTAATAACACCTAAATTTCTTATTTTGTCATTATTTATTTAGCTTACATCATTCATTGTTCAAATCTGGAGTTGTCATCGTCATCGTTATAGTCGCCTCAAAGATTTAAAGCCTCAATAGTTCATTTGTTTATTCATTCAAACTTACTCAAATTCATTCATTCACAAATAAATAAATAAATAAATAATCTTTACTCGCGTTGATCTATTCCTTTTCTTCTTCATGGCATTCCAATTTTTGTTGTTTTTTTTCGAGAAATAATTTATCTTTTTTTGTAATTTTTTCTGCATCTTTTTGACTCACCGTTATATTGCATATTTGTTTGTCCTTTTGGCGTGGCTTCTTTTTTTTGGGGGAGAGGCTAAACAGTTTTTTCTTCTTTTTTATTATTTCTTTGACGTGTTTTTATCCAATTGGATAATTTATAATTTTAGAAGAAAGGAAGGAAAGAAAGAATTATGGTGGAGTCATAATTTCTGCTCTATAGAAAATTAATGAGGTAAAATAATTGCTTGGCACACCTTTTTTAAAAATTAACTTAAAAATCACTATTAGAGTTATAGAGAATACATAGAATAATTAAGTAATTTTTGGCTTGAATGGAAGGAGAGTTGTTTGCGTGTAACAACAAATAATACTACAAATTAGTTGAGATTTCTATATCTAGTACCATTAATTTCAGGTATTAATTTTTGCTGTGCATAATAACAAATAATATTCCTCCCACGCCAATGCAAGCGCCTTCCCGCTGTTAAATCCAACATGGTTGGCTTTTAGTGTGACTAAATAATTATCATTACATTACAGCAATAGCAATAATAACAATCAAGGCGATGAAGATTTACAAATTAATTAATTATTCAAACTATCCAAAATAAAATCCAAAATTACCTCTCCTCATCGGTTCAACTTTTCCTTTTCTCCATAATCAGCACTGTATACTGTAACATAAAAAATTATTCTGTGTAGCAAATTGTTACATGATTAGAATAGCTGTGTTTGACATGGATATATATATAAAGTTGAAAACTTTACATTGGTATATAATGATGATCTCTTATTTAAAGCAATCTTAAGTTTCCCTTTGATCTGAAACTTGCCCCTGTCACTAAGTTAATGGTGCCTTTCATGATTACTTTTCAGGGACGATGGACCCTGAACATAGTAACACCTTGAAAAATAAAGAAAGAACACAGTTTTGATAAAGTCTACAGCTCTCACACCGGCCTGAATTTTCCATTTCGTCATATCCTTCAGGTTAAGGGAAACCATATTAGCTTTTTTGTAGTAGGAGAAATATCAAAATAACATGACCATTAAAATTGGAAAGACCGCTTCCAACCAAGTAGATTGACATGAAAAATGTATATTCGTGATCATAATCTTTTATTGGTGAGTCAAACACATACATATTAATATATAGATACGTTGAACTGTTACTTTATGTAAAATTAAATTATCTGATGATTTTCATATGTATATTTTTACTAGATTCTTTTTCAGATATTAATTTAAAAGCCTTAAAAGGTGGCTGAGAAGGTGCAAAAAATATTGTAAGCCTTCATATGGTATTATTACTTTATGGGAACATAGAAGAATTATGATAAAGTCACGTTGGCCTTTTATCAGCCATTCTATGGTGCAAAGATATCTAATAATAAAGATTAAGCTTATTAGATGAATATCAATATCCAGTAGCTTAATCGTTAGAACGAATACTACTAATGGATTATTAAAAGCATGATAATGAATGACCTTGTATTAAATTTATTGTCAAAAAAAAAAAAGTTCCTCAAGAAAAGAACCCAAGTGAGCTTCTATTTTTTAAACAAACTAAATAGTTAATAAAAAGTACAAATACGTTTGTTGGTGCGTTACCTTCAGGTTATCAAACAAAAAATTGGACCGATTTAAATAAATTTTGCGACTTAATTATAACATTATTTAAAAATCGCTAGGTGATAATTGTATTTATTGCTTAGTATCAGAATATTATTAGAATAGAAGATATTATGATAATGACAAAATTAAACGAGCCATTGGAGTCTTTACAACAAACAAATCGTAATAATTCACCCAAATTTTATGTTAAAAGATATTTTTATTGGGAGGCAACAAAATTTTGGGTAAACAATGTTTCTTTGCAAAAATGCAAGGCTAATCTAGAACGAAATAAATTTATTAATTAATAAAACTTGGTTTAATGGATAAAATAAATCGATTAATTGATTAATAATAATAACACTATATGACAGATACTAGACAAGTTTACGTAGAACGTAAATAATTAATTGGTTAAAAGGTCTATCTAAATTTGATAGAGTTCTACTCTTGGTTAATGGTATTAGTATTGTTCCGAATAAGAACGGGAAAATCAAGATAGCGATGATTAATAAAGTTAAACATTTTTTCAACATTATTTAACTCAATTTTATGTATATGTTGGCCGAGATGAATTTATCAATCAAAGTAAGGCTGGTTGAGGTGCACTTTAATCAACTACTCTACATGTTTGACCACAACATGCCCAGAGTTAAACTCATTATCAACAACGTCGCAAGGCGCACCATCAAATTTGCATATAGTTGTAGTTGTCGTGGTTGTAGTGGTGGTGGTGAGAACAGTTGTAGTTATATCATTTGGACTTGGTCTTTGTCTTAATTTTGGTCTTAGTGATGGTTTCAGTATTTTAATCGGGGGATATTGCTATCGTAGTGTTGGTAATGTGCTTCAATATTTGATGTCAGCAAACAAAAATAAATAACAAAAAGAACGTGGAAAATACATTGTGTGTGTGAATGATGGCTTGCTAAAATTAAATAATTGTGTGTTTTAAATAAATGGTAAGTTATTGATTGGTATCGAAGAAAACAGGTCGTATATATATATATGAATAGTAAATTGTTTTTGTTTATAAAAATTATACACACTTGACTTTCTATTTCCCTCAAGGAAGGTAGGCATCAAGTGAAACTAATTTCTCAAAGATTAAAAGTATGCAGGAAGGACATAAAATCTGACAAGTCCTTCATACTTGCTTGAGTGGGCGAAAAGGCTCTCGATTTCGAGTTATAACGAATTTATATACCTTGTTCTTTTTAATAAAATTAATAAAATCAATATAAATTAAATTGTCCACGTTTAAACTAATAATTCATATAAATCACAATGACATTTCATACAATGTACGAAATTTTTTTGAAGCCTCCTTGTACAGTACAATACATCCAATTAATTTTTAATGCCTATTTAATTAATCAAATTAGCAAAAACAACAGTGAATTTTTTTAACATTTGAAATGTTTCTACTAATATTTATCTTGAGCATATAATAAAATTCTTTTAATATAATGATTTTTATAGTAATAAATATTATTCTCTTTGGATTTTCTTGGTGCCATTGTTATCTGGAGTATAAATCATCCGAGTTGTCATTGTCGTGACTTGATTATCAGATTCAGACCACAGAAAATCATTTATCGATTTTGAACTTTCTAATAACAGAAGCTAATATGAAAATGAAAATATTATTATATATTCTATATTTTTTGAGAATCTGCCTATTGCTATACAAACCTCATATTTTAATAGGCCTATCACTGTCTCATGTGCTTTAAACATATCTTTCCATGTTTTAGGCATTGGAAATCTTAATATTTCTTCCATAGTGTAAATTTCAGAATAATTGAGTTTGAATTCATATATAATTAATTCATATACTATAAATATCAATAATTAGTCAGTAAAAACAAGTGGTGATAACAAAATGATAATAATAAAATGGTAATGAAGATTTACAATATGATTGCATTCCGTATAACCTAACCATTCTAATGTCAGAACTTGGACAAATTTTTACAAGCCGATTGATTAAAGTTTTTAGCATTTTTGAAATCTTCATTCGATCACTTTTGAAATGACTCCAGTTTTTTTTCGATGGAGGTCCACTTACTTCAATGACTGAAAACTCTTCATCTTCCTCCCTCAAAGTAATGATTGTATTGATTTTCCTTCCAGGGGATCGATTTTTATCATCTACTTTCTGGGAATTGCAATCTTCAGAGCTTGCCTTAAGGCATGTCTCGCCATATGCAGCACGCCATTTTTTTTTATGTTTTATAAAAATTTCATTAAGGATCGGTGTCAAAACATATACAATGTAACTTCCTTCAGACATAGGTTCGGAAACTAAATTAGCATCATCCTCCATCAGTTTAGAGATGCGATCCGCAGATATCCGTCATCCGTTCATCCATCATTTATCTCAAAAAATCAATCCGTCATCTGTTAATTGCTCAAAAAATACATCCGTCGGATTCAAACGGATTATCCGGATCATCCGTGAAATTGAACGGATCATTCGGATTGTACGGATCATCCGCGGATTGTACGGATCATCCGCAGTTTGAACGGATAATTCAGCAATATTAATATTAGTATAAAATGTTACAAAAAGAGTAGTAATGCTAATAATTTATGACAATTCATTTATATTTATTATAAAGGGTGAATACATTCAACACAACTTGCATTTCTTTTTAAAAACAAAATTCGTTTAAACAATTCTAAATCTAAATGTGATCTTTTAGCAGTCAATAAATTCCCTGCATGACTGAATAATCTTTCGCTTGGTGTTGAGGTTGCTGAGACAGAAAGGTATTGACGAGCAAGTTTTGCAAGAATAGGGTACTTAGATTTTTTATAATTCCACCAATCGAAAGGATTACAGGTAAATTCAATTTCTCTTTCTTTTAAATATTCACTTATTTCATCTGAAAATGGATTTTGATGTGACATATTAAAAATTGAAAAAAGTGTAGGTGTTTCAGTTTCAACTAAAGTGCAATCTCGATTTACATTTGTTGATGAAATATTGGTGATTGTTGATTGTTGAGCTGATATCTGATTATATTTCAATTGTAAATTCAATTTATAATCATCTTTTATATTCTGTTCTATAAAAAAAGACATCAGTTAATTTAATATATAAAATTTAAAATTTAAAACATGATTTTACCTCTAATAAAAGTCAATTGTTTTGTACGTGGGTCTAACATAACAGCAATCATATACTCTTTATTTTCAAAGTTCCAGTAAAAATTCATTGCATTATATAAAACCCTATTAGTTAAACCCAGTATACCTTCAGTGTGCATTGGCTGGTTTAGATTAAAATCATTTTGTTCAGCATCTTCTATTTCTTCAATAAATTCATCATTAAAAACATCATCTAATTCTTCTAAATTAAAATGTCTCAAAATCAGATATGGAATTTGATTGGATGTTATTTTTAAGACGTGTTTTAATTTCTTGTATTAATGGATACATCATACTGAATGTAATGTAAGAACTTCCACCAAGGTATGTAGTTGCTTCTTCAAATGGTTTTAAGATTTTAACTAATTCCTTCAAAAGCTCCCACTCTTCATCGCTTAGAAGAATTTTTTTTAACCTTTTACCATCTTTTCAAGTATCATAATCAGATTCAGATTCCATAGAACTTGCTAACAATGAAATAAATTCTTTGATTTTTATGAGTCTTGTCCAAGCAAGATAACTGGAATTCCAACGAGTTGGAACATCTCCTATACATTGAATAAAATAATTGGAGGTTTCTGATAAATCCTAAATTAAAAAAATTATATAAATGAATGAATGAATAATAAAATATCACTTAAATTATATATACAGTTTACTCTCTCTATAATGGATCTTTCTATAACGGATTTTTCTCTATAACGGACAAAAAATTCTGGCCCAATTTTTTACTATTTAAAACCTCTTTCTATAACGGATTTTATTAGTTAAATTTTATATAATGTATAACGGACAGCACCCCGAAAACATTCTATATAAATCCCTCTCTCTATACCGGATTCACGTGATTTCAAAACTAAAATGCAGATCTTAAATCATATAGTCATTATTAGATCACTATACAAATGTCAAATAATCTCTTAATTGTTAATTAATAAAGAAATCAAAAATTGATGATGTTATTGCCAAGCTAAAATAATGTCAATATTATTTTAATAAAGAAAATAATGTTAATATTATTTTACGTGTAAATAAATTATAAATCAGACGTCATGTAACATGTCATTGTGGCGTTGTATTATGTTGCGAAATTAAGCAATTTTTTTATATAAATCGATCACGATTTTTGTATTAATTCAATTTTTAAATTTTTCATTAATCAAACTTAATTCATATCAAATTGATTCATTTATTATCTATTCTGTTTTATTATTTATTTAAAATGTCATTAAATAAGAGAAAATCTTTAACAGCTTTGATAAAAAGAGATATTTGTTTGGCAAAACAAAAAACTCCAATCCCAACGAATAGAGAATTAGCAACAGCTTTTGATATTAGTACAAGTACAATTAGTGATATTTTAAATGAAAAAGATAGGTGGCTTTCCATTAATCCAGAATCCTCTGATGCTACCAAGAAAAAAAGGAGAAGCTTGGTATACGAAGAAGTTGATCAAGCATTAACTATTTGGACAGAGAAAGCTATTGGTGCAGAGTTAGACATTACTGGTGATATATTGAAAGAAAAAGCAATACACTTTGCCCAACTTCTTGATATTAATGACTTCAAAGCATCAGAAGGATGGTTAACAAAATTCAAGCAAAGACATAATATCAAACAGTATACAAAACAAGGTGAAGCTGCCAGTACTCCTATTTCGGAATTACCTATTTATAGAGAAGAATTAAAGAATTCTATTACAAATCAATATCAATTATCAGATATTTTTAATGCAGATGAGACTGGGTTATTTTGGAAACTGGAACCATCAAAAGTATTATCAACAGGACCTGTATCTGGAAGAAAGAAGTCAAAGGAAAGAGTTACAGTATTATTAACATGTAATGCTAGTGGAACAGAAAAATTGAAGCCATTATTTATACACAAATATAAAACGCCTAAAGCTTTAAAAAATATTGACAAAGAAGCATTGTCAGTAAACTATTACTGGAATCTCAAAGCATGGATGCAAGTCTCCATTTTTAATGATTATTTAGTCAATTTAAACAGATATATGCAACAACAAAATAGAAATATTTTGTTATTATTAGACAATGCTCCCACACATTCTGTTAATGAGACAACAAATTTAACAAATGTTAAAATTCATTTTTTGCCTCCAAATACTACTGCATTTTTACAACCATGTGATGCTGGTATAATCAATAGCTTCAAGGTAAATAAATTATTAATATTAATATTAATTTTCTTTTTTAAAAAAATTCTTAACATAATTTCAATATCATATTTTACAGGCAAATTATAAAAAACTTTTTTTGAGAAAAAAACTAAAAAATTATGAAATACAAAAAAGAGGTGGAGAACCTGATCCAATTACAATAAAGCATGCAATTAAATATACTACAAAGGCATGGGAAAATGTTACCAGTCAAACAATAATTAATTGCTGGAAAAAGACTGCAATTTTACCTGATGTGGATGAAAATTCTATTGAAATTCAAAATGCTACATCATTCCTAGATTCTTCAAAAAATAATGATGAAAATGATTTACAAAGTTTAATTAATGAACTTGATTTTGCAAATCCTTTATCTGGGACAGAATATCTTTCCATTGATGAAGTAGAAAGAAATGACAATGACAATTATGAGGGTTTGCCAAATGATGAAGAAATAATTTCTATGCTAAAGCTTAATGAAGAAAAAGATGAAGAAGATGATGATAATATTGAAGAAATTCCTCTTGTTTCAAGTCAAGATGCTTTATTGGCCATTGAAAATGTAAATTTATTTGTTGAACAGCAATTTAAGGAATTTACAAATGAAGAATTGAAATTGTTAAAAACCATTAAAAAGAAAATCAAAAAAGCAGAATTTAATTCAAAAAAACAATCTACATTAGATAGTTTTTTGAACATTAATATTGAATAATTATTTTTTTATAATCATAATAATAATAATAATAAATTTTTTTTTATTCGTTAACTTAATCATGTGACGATCAACAAAATTCTCTATACCGGATTCTCTCTATAACGGATCTTTTTTCCCCAGACAAATGATCCATTATAGAGAGAGTGAACTGTATCAAATTACCACATCAGAATGTCTTTTCATTTGCATTTGAATATTTATCAAACGTTCACTTTTCTTAGGGCGGAGGAAAAAATCTATCAATCTTTTTGCTCTTTTGACTAAAGGTTTGATTACTGACAAGCCTTTACCTATCACTAATTGGAGAGTATGTGCTGAACAAGGTTGCCAAAATATGTTAGGAGCGATTAACTCCATGTCTTTAATTGCTTTTTTAATATTGGATCCATTATCGGTAGTAATAATATGAGTTAGGTCACGAACACCCCACTCATCTAATATTGCTAATAATGTATCACTAATATGATTTGCAGTATGTGGGTATCTTACATAATCAACAGCAAGTACTTGTTCATGCATTTTAAAATTTTCATCTAAATAACTACAAGTTACACCAAGAAATCCTAATCTATTATGACCAGTCCACATATCAATGGTTAAACTAACTGATAATGCATTCTCTTCAATGTGTTTGATAATGAGAGGAAGTGTATGATTATAAGATTTATGAATCAATTGTTTTATAAATTTAACATCGGGAATAGAAAAGGCAGGGTCAAGTGAATTAATAAATGTTTTAAAGGAATCAGATTTAAGTATATTTAATGATTGATTGTCGAAAATAATCCATTCCATTAATAATTGTTGTAGTTTTAATTGTTTATTATTATCATGAGGTTTAATAATCATGCAATTCATAGTACTTTGAACCTAAAACACAGAAATTTACTATTAGTCTTATTAATAAGCAAGCATAAAAGATTTGAAGGATTATATTACCATTAAATCATTTTTTTTAGTTGACTCAACAATCTGGTGCTTTGAATATAAATGAGTAATTAAATTTCCTGTGGATCCATCTGTTACATAACGTTTTTTACAAGTCTTTTCAGTTGTAATTGGTACTTGGCATTCTGAACCTTTTTTACCACTAGGTAAATTTATTTCTGCAAACCAATTCCACACCCAACTTTTTTTTAATGGTACCTTTTTTAGTTTGTGTTTAGTAATTTTAGTCTGTTCATTAGAAATTACATTTAATACATTTCCATCCAACTCTTCTTCCGAATCTATATAGGTAAGTTCACTCTCATTATCATTACCATTATCATTGCCATTGTAATTATATTCGTTATTATCATTATTCATTGTAAGTAATCTTACAAACTAGTAAAGAAGCAACAGCATCAAAAAATGAATGATAAAAAGTATTATATATTTTAAATTTTTATTTTTTTATTATTTGTACTAGTATATACATAAAAAATTTTTTTTTATTCACTATCACATGATATTTTATTCATCAGGAAACTAATTTAGTGTAAAATTGCATAAATCTTACGATGCCGACGTAATATTGTGTAAATCTTACAGTGCCGACGTAAGTTTTACACTTTTTTATTATTAAACTTACAATTGACACGTGTAAAATTTTTTATATTTTCCGGATGTTTACACAGATCATCCAGATATCCTATAATTTCTAAACTTTCAATCCGCAATCTGTTAGCACTTTAAAAAAGCCATCCGTCCATCCGGATTGTTTTGCAGATATCCGGATTGACCATCCACGGATCGCATCTCTAATGCTCAGAAGTGCGACAATAATTTTCGTGTCACACTATTTTGAATCTCACGACCAAATTTGGTAATGATTTTCTTTTAATGTAATATGTTTGTTAAACTTTTTTGTTGTAAAGAACTTTTATTTATTAATAAAAAAAAGAAATAAATAAATCAAATAAATCAAATGTGTGTTGTAGAAAATATTCTATGAAAAAAAAGTTGTTACATGAAATTTACTTAGTCTCAATTTCTTAAGCGTATAACAAAATTCGGAATTTTCAAAATGCTAAGGCTCAGCCAATTTTCAATTTAAGAAAAAACCAGCCAATAAGTTTTGAAGCTTGAGTCATGAACAATAAAACTTATCGGTTAAATTTTTTTAAAATGATATAATTTTTTTTTGTTTTAGTATTTTGAAGTTGACCAATTGCTAGCATGGTGGACATTTCTTTTATATTATTTATATTATGTCGATCGTTTTTCAATTGTTTTAGAATAAACAATGGGTTACACTTATGAGGTGGGCGCAAGTACACTAAATAACAACCTTTCAAATTTTACAAGTATACTCTTTTCACTTCAATA